GATTGAATGCGCGTTTGCCTCAAGAACATTGTTTATCTGCTAGTATCGTCGTGTTGTGTTTTGTTTTTCATTGTTTGTAACAAAAATGTTGCAATATTAATTATGTTAAGCTGGCGTGATCACTTCTGTGGAGTCGACAAAAAAGATAAGATACTTAAAAAGTATTATTTTTATGCTTTTATGAAGTTATGGTAATAAAATCTTGCTTCTCTTGAAACCAGAACACATAACCTAACATTTTCCAGCGTATAAATAAATATTGGCGGTAAAATATTCACTTCTGTGGACATCATTTCCGTGGACCTCCTATCGACAGCAGTATATTTTTAGTTCTCAAGAATTATATAATATTAAAAATTTGTTTTAGAAAACATTCTACCAGTGTTTTGCATTAGTGTTACCATTATCTTTTAGTTTTGTCCATTCCGTGGACATTTTTGTCACTTCTGGGGATTATAATATTTTAAATAAAAAACAACGATATAAATTACTGTGTTTTTTATTTTATCTTTAGTGGCCTCTATAAACTTGATACATTACATTAGGTAGTAATTTGGACATACATGTTCTCTAATTTTTTAATATATTTTACCCAAAATCACCTCCGTAGATCAAAATGTCTTTTCTGTGGACTTTATTTTTATATTTGTTGAAAAACCTCGAAATAATTTTTTGGGACCTTATCCATGCATAGTGCATGAGAGTATTTGTATCAAAGAATTCTATGAACATAAAAAATATATACAAAAGAAACATTTTTTTTTCAAAAAATGTATTAAGAAATTGTACATTATTACAAGATTGACCCATATACCTACTTATAAAAAAGAGTATAAAGAAAGAGTATAAAAAAGAGTATAAAAAAAGAGTATAAAAAAGAGTATAAAAAAGAGCATAAAAAAGAGTATAAAAAAGAGTATAAAAAAAGAGTATAAATTAATTGGAAATTTCCACTTATTACTTGGAAATTTCCAAATAATATCTGGAAATTTCCACTTATTAATTGGAAATTTCCAATTGATAATTGGAATTTCGAGATATTATTTGGAAATATAACTGGAAATCCTATTATTAAAAATTATTTAACATGGCCCTTCAGCGCTTCCGTAGCATGCACCAAGAAAAATACACAGAGAAAAAAGATTAGTTAATTTAAATAAATGTTATGTATATCAAATATAGTATATTACACTACAAGGGCAGAAAATGTGACATTCCTGCACTGCGCGCCATGATGCCCGAGGCGAAGCCGAGGGCATCATGGCGCGCAGTTCAGGGCTCTCACACTTTCTGCCCGTGTAGTGTATACTATTTTTCTTGCTACCCGGCAGAAAATACGGGAAAAAATTAATGTGCATAAAAAACTTGTGTCAAAATTAAAATCTGACGTTTAATTTAATTCTGACTTTTACATTCAAAATCAATCAAACTGTAGCGTTGTCATGGTAGCGGGAGGAAATGAAACTTTTCTTACTACCTCGGCCGAAAATACGTATAGCCTTGACCAATGCATAAAACGTAAACTTTCTGCCGTGGAATCGGGGACGAAACAACGTATTTTCTGCCGGGTAGCAAGAAAAATTATTTATTTCGATATACCCAAATAAATGTTCTTTTGAATGTTAAAAAATATTTATTCCTTTTAATTTATTTCATTTAAAATTAATTTATTTAAATACAAAAATGATGTATGAAATAAAACCAAGTAACAAACATAAAACCAAGTAACAAACATGTATTTAAATTTAAAAAAATATTTTTATTTACGTCAAACAGATAATTTATTTCATTTAAAATTAATTTATTTTAATTAAATAATTATTAAATTTGAATTAATAAAAATTATTTATTTAAAATAAAAGATATATTTTTTTTATTAATTATGTTTTATTGGTTTCATCTAATCTAGTAATATATATTAATTAAAATTTTTAATAATAAACACTAACCTTTATTGTATAAAACAGTCTTATAAATAAAGATAGTAAACCCTAACCTCTACAAAAACTTACATAAATTAACCTATTACATATAATACATATAAAATCATTAGTCTGCTCCTGGGGTACAAAAATACTTTTTCTTATAGCTACATACCTGTCACCATTTGGAAAAATATAAATTAGCTTAATGTTAACTTAATGTTAATGTGTGCTGCATAAATCTACCTTTAGCCTCCTTAATCCACCTGACCACGAACCGCAACTGTGTCCAGGGTACTCAAATAATAATGGTAAATTCCAACTAATTATTTAAATTACTTATACCTTAAAAACAGGAATACATTTTTCAACAGCTCATTCCTTTAAAAGGTCCTCTATAGTATAAAATAATATTATATTATAATTGATTAAATGCAACACACTACTCATCAACAGCCTGCTCTAAATTGGAGTCGCTAAAATCATTTACACACAAAATGGAAAGCCCATTGGCTATCTGCAGTCGCGTGATTTACAGCAACCAATAAGAACTAAAGTATTCATGCAAGTCATGCTACTTCAACGTGAGCAAAAAAGTTTAAATAAACCTCTTCTTTAAATTAAATCACAATTTTTTTGTATTTAAATTTTTGATTTGGTTAAATTAATAATTATTTTTTTTAAATTAAATTAAAATCATGTTTTAAAATTTGACCATGTTTTTAAAAAAATAATATTTTTTATTTAATTTAAACTTTTTATTTTTTTTTTAAAGTAAATTGGTTCAACTTTAATTTAAACAGAATAAGTGCAATTTTGAAATAAAAGTCAGGTACTTTGTTTTAAATATATATTTTAAAAAATTTGCTTTTAAATACAGACAATTATTATTTTTAAAGAATTGTTTTTGAATTAAATTTATATTTTTTTAAATGTAATAAATAAAATTAAACAAATATCTTAAAATCAAATAATACCACGGCTGGTGGATTTTGGGTATACCGATATCTCAGTTATTAGATATGGGACCCACACCAAATTTATATGAGTTTATAATGACATGAAATAAATAAGATCTGCGGAAGTAGAATTTAAATTGAACGAAAAAATATAACCTAAACATCGAATATGGAACTGACGACACGGTACTGATGAATGAGATACAAATTTGAGATTATAATTCGGAATTAAGTATTTTACTGATATTTTTTATTAGGGGATGCTACTTATCAACAAATCACATATAGCCTTATATAAATTACAATGAAATATATATACGTAAAAAAATAACTACTCACCACAGTACTGAAATTTTGACTGGAACTATACGTGCATTCACCACAACTTCGCCGCTTGCATTGTTTTCAAGATGACTGTCGTACAAAGGGCGGGCTCTGTAGGTAATTTTTTACCAACACTTGAGTTAAAACGAGGACGTTTAAAGTTCAATATTTCGCAGGAATTTTGAATTTTTACATTGGACACAGAACTGACGGGTAAAAGTGAGTACAAAGATTATCAATTTTTTAAAAATTGCTATTATTCAAATCTATGATAAAATATGAAGAATACATTATTTAATGTTTTATAGTTTGTAGTGAAATTGAAAAATTTAAGATAAATTGAATATATTTTAAAATAAAACCACTCAAATATTTGAATTAGGGAGTTGTGACACGCCAAGGTACTGATGTTTTGAATATTTATTATGTTTTTCTACTAACGTGCTTTTAAAAAAATACATTAAAATTGGATGGACAAGTTAAAAAAAGCTGGATCTTTTGTAATATACTAAAATATTTACAAAAAATATTAAAATACCTACTCTATTGACTGATGACATCAAGTTGTCCAACTTTTGTAGAATCATATAAGTGAATAATAAAATATAATTCAAAAAAATTATAAAACTACGAAGGCGTAGAAGGGCCAACAAATTTTTTATAAGTTTTAGCCAAAACTAACTTTGATTTTTGCAATTTCTATTCTATAATTGTAACTTGAACTTACAATTGTAACTTGAACTGTAGGTTCAAGTTACAATTGTAAGTTCAAGTTACAACTGTAACTTGAACCTACAATTGTAAGTTCAAGTTACAATTGTAGGATAAACCTAAAGGTAAGTTTATTGTTTCTTCTCTCTATAGTATAACCAATTTAGTGTTTTTAATAGGTAGCTATGGAACAATATTTCAAAATGGGGCTTCGGCAAAAAGAAATATTATAATATTATTTAGGCAAGCATAACGTATTTATAAGCCCTATAACCTTAAAACGTCTTCTGTGCAGTCTAGGGCTGCGATTATCAAAATTCATAATCGATTATTGATTATCTAAAATATTCGATTTTTTCGATTAATCGATTATTGATTAATCTATTTTTGGATTAATAGATTATTTGAAAAAAAAATGCGTTTGACCATTGTAAGTTGGCGGAGCAAAGAAATGTTCATGCAATTTATATAAATAATATTAAAAAACATACCTACTCATTTATGTTTTTTATTATTAAAACATACCTACTCAGTTATGTTTTTTATTATTATTTATATATATAAATTATATAATATTCTTATTTAAATAAAAAAATACGTTTTAAAAGCACACAACACGAGAATTGTTGAATAACTAAATAACTTAATTCATTCGGTATAATACTAAAATAATCGATTTTTACAAAAAAAAATAAACGATAATAATCGATTAATCGATTATTTTGCCCACCCCTAGTGGAGAATCGATCTTGTAAGAAGGAAATTTAGTCATTTAGAGAATGTTTATGCCTTTATTCTGTTTCTTATCACTACTTCTGCCCAAGTTACAATTGTAAGTTCAAGTTACAATTGTAACTTGAACCTACAATTGTAAGTTCAAGTTATAATTGTAAGTTCAAGGTACAATTATAGAATAGAAATTGCAAAATCAAAGTTAGTTTTGGCTAAAACTTGTAAAATTTTTGTTAGCCCTTCTACGCCTTCGTATAAAACAACTTAAAGTAAAAATTCTTGTTTTATTATGCATTTTAAAAAGTAAGATATCCATTCCCGAAAATCCGAACATTTTGACAGCCGCATCGGGACGTGCAGCAGGTCCCGCCGAACCGCTCTGTATTTAGCCCTGCCCCGGTGCTATTCTTGTCCCGCGAACGGGTGGGAGCCCCTCAGCGGGCGCTCCTCCTTAGGCAGCTGGCCAGCAAGTCGCCCGGTAAGGAAACCGCGTAAGCTGATAGCACCTCCGCCGTGCTCGCCTTAACCAACAACGCTCAGTCGCGCTGAAACCGTGTTCTACTGTGCAACCGGTGACTCAAGTGAATTAAACACACAACTTTTTACCTCTGGTGAGTACCAACATCAAGTATTCATGATTTTGTACATCTAAATACATAAAAATACCCCTGAAGAATTATGTAAAAATACAAGTCTTTAGACACTTGTTATAAGATCTAGAACCATGAAAGTATCAAATTGGTAATTCCCAAGGGATAAGCACATATCTATGCCAAATTATGCCATTCAATGCATAATAGTTACATATATACTTAAGTAGGAATAAAAGAACCCTCTGTAATTGCTTCTTCCTCTTTTCTTGTAACAAAGATGTTCAAAGGTACTAGATTGCACGTTATCACGCTAATAATGAGGCTATTGCCGACATATCTCAAGTTCATTTAACCCAAAGAACCTGTATTAAATAAAATATACTACAATATTCCACGCTCACTAGACGTTTTCACTTATAAATATCCGATCTATTTTTAATTTGATCCAAATAGATGGAATTAAGTGTCATCATTTCGTACTATTTATATCAACAGTTTTGAGCTCCAAAATATGGTTTCCGATACTTTTTCTCTTTAGAATGTTATAATATATTTATTTAGAAATATGTTGGAAAACTTATAACTATAAGACATTTTTACTTAAAATTACAAAATTTGATACATAAATCAAATGAAACAATTAGGTTTATTTTGGTACAATCCAGGTCATAAAATGATCTTGTTTATATTTTTAAATTAGGTCTGCTTTCCTTAAACACATAAACTTACTTTAGATTGCTAAAGAAAGTAATATACCAAAATAGTTTTTCAAAAAAATTTCAAAAATATTTTTCTACTCCCACCTTTAAAACGCCCATTATTGTACATGTTTAAACGACAGTTGTCAAATGTCATATATACACTGTAAAAATAATTAACACAACTTTACACGCGCTAACACCAAACTGTGTTATTCCAAGTCCACACGAAATCGTGTAAAATTTTAACGCAGCATCAGTGTGTTGATTTGTTTTTTATATCGTGTAGGTAATAATTTACACAAAGAATAATTAAACTTCAACTCATCGTTTGTGTAATTTCACAAAATTTTAGGTATTAAATTTAACACCAGTAGGTGTTATTTTTTTAATTGGGTAGGCAAATAAATTTTTTTTGTAAAAATAAATAATATAATAAATATATTATAATATATTTATATAAAGCAAATTAATAAAAACATTAAAAAAAAAACAAATTATAATAATGTAGGGTTAAAAACAAATACCTAAAGGAGATCAAATTTCATGGGTTATTGGCAAACTTGCCATTATAATGGGTATACTCACTTTGTTTCGTAAAGTCGAAGTTTAAATTTCATATGTATATGTATATGTTTATTTAAGTTGTATCACAAAATAATCTTTTATAAGAGAAACACCAGCACAATATATCTATAAACGCACAGAAGGCAAGACACGCATAAAACAAGCAAACACAATGGCGATTAGCTAACTAAGGGTGGGGTAAATTTTACACGATATTTGTTAAAATTTACACAACTTCATGTAAGATAACACGGTATTTATTTTAAATGATTTTATAACAAATTAACTTGTAAATTAACAAGTGGTTACACGTTTTAGTGTTGATTCCAATTTAGGAACATCCGTGTAAAAATATTTACACGATTTTTACCCAAAAATTTTAACAAAAAAAAGAGAATTTACACACAGATATTTTTTGAAGTGTATTGTACCTATATTGTATATTGTATACAATCGTGCCCTTCTAGTGAAATAATACTAAATGTAAATAGTATATTATGTATCAAGTTTGATAAACACCATTTTAGTCACGAGCGAGCTTGCCTAGAAAAGTTTATAAACGAGTTGCATACTATACTTTTTCTACGACAAATACTTAATATTATGTAAAAAATTATTTAAATTAAATATTTGTATAAAGCGACATCTATACGAGAATAAAGTAACCATCCCAATAAACATTTTTGACGTAATTTTTATTATTTTAATTAAACTTAACAATTATTGATACAAGATATTAAAGTAACTTCAAAATATAATTGGGTGAATCTCACGAAATGGTGTTGTTACCCCGTGATATTTAATAAAACTAAATGAGTTTGACCTACACTTTTATTTTGTTTTGATCTTTCATAATTAAGTAGATATTACAGCTCAGGTTTCAAATTTTTAACAGCAATTAATTATTTTTTACAATGTTTTAAAAGTCTAAAACCTATCCTCCGTGACTGTTTAAACACATCCAAAGCAACCGAATCAAATATGAAATATTATTAAAAATTAAAAGAAATAATTTTTATAACCATTTATGTAGGTGTTACAAAAATTGATTCTATCCTCCGTGAATCTGTTTTTCCTTTAAATTTTATGCGACGGATGGCGCTTTAATCATATTAAATAAGCAACAACCTCTGTTTACATTATAGATGCATGTGATTCCTGAAGATCAGTTTGAATTTATATGCACATGAGAGTGTTGCTGTTTTATAATTCAAAAGTTTAAATTCCTTAATTTGCGATTTTAAAACCTATCCACCGTGAAGTGTAATATCTCAGTAAGTTGATTTTTTTATAAATATTTTATGTATGTATGTACAATTGTATTTTTAAAAAATATTAAGTTGTCAAAAGATACAATAACTTATTTCAAATTTACAAAGGGATGTTTAAAAAAACATACGAAATCCTAACCTCCGTGAAGTTATCTTCCGTGAAGCTCTAATATTCAAAATGTATGATTTCTTAAAATTCTTGCATTAGTGCAGAAACAATCAAAAATAAAAGATAATTATACACTCGTGTCTATAATGCCGTTAATAAAAACATCTTGTATAATTATATAATAATTTTCTTTGGATGAATTTTATTTCCAAAATGGATGATAAATAAAGTTTAATAAATATTTCTGCGAATCATTTTAGACATTAAATTTTAATAAATATTAATCAAACGGAAACATTATTGAAATTTCCCAAAATTAATTTGCCTATCAGTAAAATTATTTGCATCAATATTTACATCCTTTTATAGAACCCATTGACGTTTGTTTATCTTCTATATGGTGGTGTTATTCAATATGAAAGGAAGTTAATATACTTAATTAAACAGTGGCGTATAATAATATATTTTACTTACGGAAATCCTGTGACAAATATTTAAAATTATTTTACCATTGGTAATTATTATCTATATACATATATGTATACTTATATATAAGTATTATTATGGATACGCCACTGCTTTTAAACATACATAGACTATTGACATCCTGCGCGAATAAAATTCAGTTCTAAATGACTCAAATTGGTGATGCATGACAATTTAATAATAAATATATCGAATTCAAGGAATAAGTAAGTGCACTTGATGCATGCTACATATCGGCATTCTTTCGAGTAGTTACCTAGGCGTATATTACTATATCAGTGGATTTTGTGTAACAAAGCAGTGAGGTACTTTCTTAGTAAGATTGCTTTTGGGTATTGGGTTGTAATAGTAAATTATGTATCAAGTTTGATAAACTCCATTTTATTTACAAATTTAATTTATTTTAACGATTGTATGACATTTGACAACTATCAACTAACTTCAGCCCGTGACTAAACCGCCATAAAGCCACAACTTGTTAATGTGTATTTAAAAGGTCCCTAAGTGCCATGTACGATAATGGGAGTTTTAAAGACCTGTGGGAGAAGAAAAATATTTTAGTTTTTTGAAAGTTGCTATAGCTAAACAGCGATATGCAGATTAAATTAAAGTATACTATATTTAAAATACATGGTGTTTCTAGTAGAAACTTTCTACTCAAAATGTACAACCTTTTGCCAATAAATATTTTTTGTTTGAGCTCTTTCTTTATCTTCGTTGGTTGATATTTGTAATGAGAATGTTTTATTAAAAAAGTTGTAAATATTGAACTGACAATTCCAAAAAAACTTAATTTTATAAAACCCAGCCATAAATAACGAAGATTAAAAAGTTTATGTAAAAACAAAAAAAGGGCAAAAATATTTATTTAAAAACTTTTCCAAAATAACACGTTTCTGGTGATTTTTAAAAAATTATCTTAAGTAAAAAAATATAGAAAACAACCCTTGGTATGTATGTCACACACCATTTTCAAAACATCCTGTACAAACATCGTTATTTAAAAATATACCAAGCATTTAAAAAAAATATTTTATTATTGATTTTATGTTAATTCGAAATTGTAATTATTTATTTAATTTACTTATGTTGACGCGATATAAAATAACATTACATAATTACAAATCAGTTTATTATTCATTCTACAGTTATATATGTCAATTGAAATGGAAATATTCAGTTATTACTTTTACTTTGCCTTTTTTATTCACTGCCCAAATTTTTATCAAAATTTATTTCATTTAATCATGTAAAATTTTTTGCATTATTATAAAATAGTAGGTATATTATGCATCAAGTTTGATAAACGCCATTTTAGTCACGAATTCTAGAAAAGTTTATAAACGAGTTGCGTCTATACTTTTCTCGATTTTTATGTAAGAATGTCATATTCTCGCACGCAAAATCGTTGAAGAATGAAGCTCATTCTTAAACGATTTTTGGTAACATTTAGTTTTTAAGTATTGGTACCCCCAAAATGTCAAACTGATTAATAACCTCAAATTCATTACTTTTATTGAAAATGAAGCCTTTATTATTGTTTTGTAATATAAAGTTTGCTCCAACAATGCAAAATTTTAAGTTTAATGTGTAAAAGTGCAGTTCAGGTTGTACTTGTGCAGGATAACAAATATTGTCATTTTGTGTTGCCAACTGACATTTTGCGAGAAAAATCCCCTAACTAACAACGACCACAAAACAATTAAAAAAACCTAAATAAAAGTTAAAATCGAGAAAATAGTATAAATCACACAACTTGTACTTTAATATACTATTTCTACGACAAATACTTATTATTATCTAAAAAGATTTAGATAAAATATTTGTATAGGGCGACATCTCTAAGATAATAGAGTAACCATTTTAACTTCAAGTTAGTAACTTAGG